TCTTGAGAGCGTGCGGAGCGCGATGTTGACTATCGCAGATTCTTGAGTGACGTTCGACGAACTGCTTTCGTAGCCGAAACTATCTAAACTGTCAAATCTAAGGAAAAGGATAACACAATAACAACTGACGACATACCCCTGATCCCTGATCGGATCACCCACTAAAAGGATAGGCGGCTACCTGCTTTCCGGTGGCACTTTTGACGGCGACCTAAACATTCGGATTCACTCATGAACATGAAGTAGAGAGCCCTGCGAATTTCCAATCAAATTTCGCATGGAAATGACTATGAGCCTCCTTACCGAGGTAATTTCGCGACGAACCAAGCCCGGTCCCGCTAATTCGATCCTCTATATCCTGAAGCGAGTAGACGAGAAGACTTCCTATTGGTGAATCACAGCTGTACAAGCGTAACGAAGAGTTCTCCAAAATGTGCCGGTGAAGATAAGGGGATAACGGCTTCAACCTGAACGAGCATATTTAAAAGGTGTATAGCTAACGTTGCTGATGACGTACTTCTGATCCCCACTCGGATCGCATCACGACAAGACCGTCGAACGAAGCTGATCCGTCCTCGTCGCCTTACACATATCAACGTCTCTGTAGACGTATCCGCTGAACTCCGGATGTACAGCTGCTATTGAAGCGCTAGAGCCAAATAATGGACGGTTGCAGTCTGGACGGCGACAACCTAAACGTATGCAATAAGGGGAAATTCAAGAGAACGTTGAAGGTTGCATACTTCTGATCCCGCTCGGATCGCCTCACGACAAGACCGAATGGGTCAGGTCGAACGAAGTTGACCCGTGATTGAACTACTACGAAATCCTTGCTGCCTCGAGACGAAAGATTTTCACGAGTGATTTTCCTTATTTGAACCCAGCGTGCTGATTCTCGATTAGACCGTCGTTCGCAGCCGCTAAAAAGGAAGCCATCGCAGTACAACTGAGTTCCATTAACAGGAGGATCCTCCTCACATCACGGATGAAGCCATCCATCCTCATACTGCACAGTTTGGGATCCCGCGAGTGCTCAGCACAACAATCCAACTTTCTTGATGATTGTCCTACTGCAACTTTGTTCTTCGAGAAACGTGGGGCGGAAGGGAGGAAACCGAGTAACCATTCCTGTAAACAGTACAAAAGAAACAGCACGTGAAAAGATGGTTCGATGAGCGCACATCGAACTACAGCCAGATCTATCTGCTTGCTGTACACTCCTCACAGGTATTTTGTCACCTACTCGTGAGCCTCGCGATAAACAAAGCAATAAGGAAAGAATTGTACGTCGCCAAGTTCAGACAATATGTGGTGGCTACAAAATATGGTAGAGTGAATATTCGCTTCACAAATTATTAAAAAAGAGAGTTACGAAGAAAGTCTGCTACTCGCTAAGCAACAGAACAGAAATAACTACAAAAGACAACAATTGAAATTTTCTGCTTATGCCAGAAGACAAGCTTCCGATCTTTTGATGAGGGCTTTCAAAGTGAGCCGCAGGCAATTGACATCAATCCTCTCCCATTATCTCTCAAGCGCTGCTTTGCATCCATCCAGATTAGGATGAGGTAAAGGTGTTTGCTGCGCCAGATAGCCTCAGAGTAGTGTATTGAATTAAGGACCGGAGAGTTGGATGGGCACTTATCCTTATCCCAGAATCCATGGAGNTAAGGAAAGAATTGTACGTCGCCAAGTTCAGACAATATGTGGTGGCTACAAAATATGGTAGAGTGAATATTCGCTTCACAAATTATTAAAAAAACAAGATTTACGAAGAAAGTCTGCTATTTGCTAAGCAACAGAACAGAAACAACTACGAAAGACAACAATTGAAATTTTCTGCTTATGCCAGAAGACAAGCTTCCGATCTTTTGATGAGGGCTTTCAAAGTGAGCCGCAGGCAATTGACATCAATCCTCTCCCATTATCTCTCAAGCGCTGCTTTGCATCGATCCAGACTAGGATGAGGTAGAGGTGTTTGCTGCGCCAGATAGCCTCAGAGTAGTGTATTGAATTTAGGTCCGGAGAGTTGGATGGCCACTTATCCTTATCCCAGAATCCATGGAGGTTGCGCTTGTAGAAGGAACTCGTTGATTTTCGATCCATGAGCAGATGCTCAGTCTTGCTGCAAAATGAAATTCGCCCAGATAAGCGTTTTTGAGGTCATGGCGTTCGAAGGAATTTCACAAAAACATTTCCGTAAGTTTCGAAGCTGATTTTGATGTTTCCATTAACAAAAACGAGAGCAGTTTCGCCTATAAATAATATACCGACCCGAACAATCTATGACTGCGAAAACACTCTGTTCGTTTCCTGAAATTCCTTTTGCCCAAGAAAGCAACTGCCAACGATTCTG